ATTTACACTGAAAGCTTGAAAGATTTTCAGCAAGGAAAATGGAAGAAGTGGTTGGATGACACAATCATATTTCGTCATATCATAAACAATCAACGTATGGTATCATATAGTATCAGCAATCGATGGTCTATAAACATAAACTCTGTTGATGTTTAAGAGGGCAATGAATAGATGATTTTATAAGATAACATATAGCTCATGGCATGTATCTAAATAAAATAGAGATTAAAAAAAATGTGATGGCCGCTAAAAACCCAAAATTCAATCCTATTGAAAGTGTCTCCGGAAAGCTCCTATATTTTGTTTATAATTATAATAATAAAATATTTTATATACATGTTTCAAAGTGTGAAAAACATCTTGCTAGAGCAAAACAGGCACGGAATATGACAAAAAGTAGTTAATCACATATTAAGAAAAATTTATTTACTTATTAAGTCAAATGGATATAAAATTAGTTATTAAATTCGAGCAGATGATATCTTACTTATTAAAATTGCTAAGGTATGTACAGTCATTAGGTTATTTTGAAGCAGAAGATGTGAAAAACGTGCAGTGCCCTCGCTGGACTCAAACCTGGACCGCTCGAATACTAGCTGAGTGTGTTACCGTTACACCACGAAGGCATGCTGGATGGATGAGAAAATACCTTACGTAGTCCCCCTTTTAAAGGGCGAATGGGGATTCTGGTGGTGACGAATCATTACCCACCCCCTTTTTAGTTCGGCCTAAAAAGGGGAGTTTTTAATTAAGGGGGTCAAATTATTAGAGTCATTGGGCTATTTTGAAGCAACATATGTGAAAAATGTGCTATGTCCTCGCCGGGACTCGAACCTAGACTTCTCAAATAAGTGCCGAGTGTGCTACCGATACACTACGAATACATGCTGAAAGAAAGGAGAAAATACCATATAGTATTTATAATTTCCATTTAGTAAAATGTGCTGAAAATATATATTTCTCTTTACTATTATACTGGACAATAACTGCAAAAAATTGCATCTACAGAAAATTTCTTTAAACAATTAATTAAAGTCTGTTTTCAATAGTCTGTATGTCTGTAATTAAAAAGAAACTGGCTCGCATCCACATTAACATGAGGAAAACCACGGAAAATCTTACTCAGCCAAGTCATTCACTAGGACTGGAATCCAGATCCAAATCATAGATGTAGTTATAATTTTTCTTCATATAATAAAAATTTTTTATCATATGTAATTATTTCGCATATAATATACAATTATATGCAAATAATTACATATATAAAATGCAGTACATATAGGCAACATTTTATAAAAATCATTAGAATGCAAATCATCAGAACCATTGTTTATCCCCAAACTCCTATTAGTCTCGAAAAGCGAATTTGCTTTGTTTAACTTTTCAGTCGGATTTGTTGCCATTCGAAAAAAATATAAGGTATTATTTTTTATAATCTTTTTTTTTTGTATGTCTTTTAGTAATTAGCAAATTAAATTATTTAACAGCAATAGGTGAAGTTCTTAAAAACATTTTTTTTTTTTTTACTTTTTAATCAGACTGATCTAAATAAAATTTCACATAACTCATGATGCACCTAATTAAAAGCATTAAATAATTTTATAGAATTACGTTATATTTTTTTTTTCATTTTTTTAAATATATAGAACATATATAAAAGATACATAACGTTCCTATGTTATTTGAAATGGATGTTCATCTAAAATGTTTATCTATAAAATGTTTAATCTATAAAATGTTTAATTAATTTAATGTTGTTTATTCCACCTGGCCATCTTTATTGATAATCGCTGCTGATAAATCATATTAAACTTCGATAGAAACCTTTTGGGTCATCGTTAAAATCTGAACTCATTCAGATATTTTATAAAACCTCTTACATTAAAGATATCGAAATTTAATTTAATTTAAAGTTTTGTTCTCCAGATATAGAATTATAATTTTCATTGAATTGTTTATCTTTCAATGAGTTAACGAAAGCAAAAATTTTGTTTTTTAAAAACTTTTTGCGGAAATGATTAGTAGGAGAGAAAATATGCTCTTATTTTACTCTTCATACAAAATTACTGTCATTAATTAAAATCTTAATATATAGGGTACAAAATGCGGCCCAACTGGGACTGTGGTTAGCGACGCTCAGTGCAGTACCGAAAAGCTGCCTGTAAATCCCGGAGAAGGTAAATGTGTAGTGTCTGGGCGGCATGAGGGCACTCTAAATATGCGGCAAGCTGAATGTCCTCTGAAGAGGTTGATGGTAGGGGAAGAGGGTGGGAGACCCTCGGACCCGTCCCTCCTAGGGTGCTCATTCTTAAATTGGGGGCGAAAAAGAAGTCAGGCTGTCACCTATATAGCGCACAAGGCTCTTGCCAACGACAGCTAATTAAAAGCATTAAATAATTTTAATGCGGCAGGCTGGTGCTGACCTTTGTCAGAAAAGTGAGACTGGTAAAAGCACGAAAATAACAGGGTTTGATAAAAACATGAAAGCAACAAGGTATGAAATTATTATCATTTGTAATATTATAAGTTCTAATTCAGAAGACAAACTTGTCTTCTGACTTAGTATTTATTCGGCGTGTTATTGTGTCTTAATTATATTATTAGTTATTGGAATCAGACGATTAAGTTTTAATAACATTCCTTAAAAACCAAGTTTCCTTCCTTTGAAATCTTTTATTTCTATATTATTAAATTTGTGTTATAAACATCTTACAAACTCAAACTAAAAACATGTCAGAAATGTTTCTTTCTTTCTTTTCTTTCTTTCTTTCTTTTTTTTTTTTTTTTTATTTTTTTTTTTTTTTCCCTGTGTTTACTTGCTTTAAAATATAACTTACAAAAAAAAGGGAAAATATTGTTTGAAATGCTCTCTGATTATAGTATTTTTCATTCCTTTCAATTATTTAAATTCTTATAAATCAGAAGATTATCAGAAGTGAAGGATTATCTGTTTAAAGATAAAAACATTTTGCTTTAAAATTTTTTACCGAAGTATTTTGTTTTTTTCACTTTCGTTTTCAATTGTTTTAATAAAATAGAATTCTCTTTATTTAAGGTTTTTTTTTTTCCCTTACTTTGGAGAAGGGCCAGAATTTTGGAGGGAACTATTATAATTAAATGCATTGAAACGTTTTATCAGCTAATTCTGGATACAGGAAAGCAAGGATTTTTGTAGAAGAGAGATTTCAATTGATTTCAATGTTCCTCCCCCTGACGAAGTAGCATTGAAGTTAATTGAATTCATCTTCTTATTTTGTTCATTTTTCTTTTTATTAAATGAACATTAATTTAATGTTCTAGTTAAATTAACATTAATTTAATTTAATGTTTTAATGTTCAGTTTAATTATGGGATTATTTGAAATTTATTAATTAAGAATTTCAGTTTTTGATCTTTGAGAAATATCAGTTCTAAATTTCTTTCTTACTTTACATACACACACATACATACATATATATATATATATAAGTAAATAAATTAGGAAAATAAAATTAAAAATAAATAGAAAAGGAGAATTGAATCCCCGAGGTTTTTTTTACGGTGAATTGTTCTTTGAAATTTCCGTTTAAACTTCAAATTTCACTTTCAGTTCTTTTTACTAAAACATTTTGAAACTCGTTAAAGAATTCTAAGCCAAGCACCGTAAAAACATTTATGCATTAAGCGCAAAAAAATTATAATGAATTTCAGACTATAACTTAACTTGCAGGATAAGACCTTTCTTATGTTTTCATCACAATCCTATTAGAATGCCTACAGCATCTTAAAAAGTATTACCAATGATAAACATTCTACTTACGGGGTTAGTAGCTGGAGCATCTTTTGCAATAAAACTCCAGACGGTAGTCTGTAAATCATATTCTCTTATCTCAAAAAGACGGCAGCAGTCTCAATCAGATAATTTTACACAAGACTGCAACTTGAAAGTTTTCGAATAAAAATAATAATAATAATAATAAAAACCGGAGCCATTTTAAAGTCTCGACGTTTTATCTGCAGGTTATCTAGAATAAAATGACGTGGGCAATTCATTGCCTTGCCAGATCTTAAAATAACAAAGATGTCCAAACCACAATAGAAAAATAATAGCTATAGCAAAACGTTTGTTTGTAATTGCCTCTGATAGCACAAATAAAAGTAATTTACGGCTAACATGTCTGCAGTTTATGTCAGTGGAAGCCTAATACTAGAGGATACAGCGGCATTTTGGATAATTCGTAAGGACTCTGTTTAGCAGTTAACGAAACAACAGTAGCTGCTTAATGTAATTGTAATTGTTACCAAAGCCCAAGTAGTTTGCGAACATAGAATTCCTCTTTTGTTGCAATCAGCAAATCGTTTAACAGAGTGCAAGAAGAAATTTATCTTTACGTCCCATAAAAATAGTAGCAGTTGATGGATTAAATTTGTGTCATAAATAATAGCAGTAAAAGAAAGTAAACATATAATCCAATATTTATTATCAAAAAGTTAGATTAAATTAAATAAAAAAATCTGAAAGTTTCAGATTTTATATTACGACCAGAGTTTTTTTTTTTTTTTTTTTTTTTTTTTTTTTTTTTTTAACGTTTGTGCGTTACCTTTATTCATTAAATATCATGTTCTTCATACTTAAACCATAAAATTCAAATCAACGCAATATCGCAAAATAATTTAAAAAGAGCATTTCTTAAGAATTTCCGATACGCAGTCTTGTGCGCTGGAGATTATTTTTTTTTCCGGACAATGTTGCCATTTTTCGATTTGATATCATTGAGTTTGTTAATCGAAAATTCATTAAAATTCTACAAAATATGAAACAGATAATAAAACGAATTCCAAATTTGTGCTTCCAGATGCCCATATTCTAGTGGGAGACTACGTTACGCAAAATTTGATGTCTCTAGGTACTTTTGTTTTTTCACAGTTCGAGAAATATGCATACATTCATGCACATTCTTTTTGCATGAATGCATACATTGCACTATAATTATTCCTGAATTATTCTTAAACTGTTCCAGAACGTCTGGATCTTCCCCATCTTGAATTTAAAGGAACTCTTTGAGTGAAAGGCAAGTCATCATGAAGTACGTACGTAATATGTGGCATTAGAAACATCTTTTACAGCGTGTTATCTTCTTTTATGGAGTATATTGCCTAATAGGTAAGCCTGAAGCTATTTAAAACTTATAAGTGAGCCTCTTGTAAGTTCTTTATATCAACACTTCGATTTAAATGGTTGTAAAGACTGTTAACTTTGATTTATGTTCTATCTGTGTTAAGCAAACTCTCTAACTTGTTAAATAAAGATTTCATAATTATTCTAATTTATGCTTCTTTAATAAAACTGCGCTAAATAGAGGATAGTAACTCAAACGTCTGAAATGTATTAATTGCACGACACATCAGGTATAAAAAGAAACTTGTTTATTGCTTTTAAATCGTTAATTAAATAAGCATTAATAATTAGTTATGCGTTTTTAGGTTGAAGGATAAATAAAAGATGTTAAGAAATGTATGATATCACCTCTGTGACCGAATTGAATTGTCCGAATTGAATGTTTGGTAGATTATCATAGCCCGATATAATACATAAAAGAGAAAATTTTCTAATTTTTTTTCTTTACACATTTAAAGTCTGAAAATAGTGTGCCACTTCGAAGTATTTTTGTTTGTAGTTCAAAGCGCGGAATTTGTATTACAAATGGACACACACACACACTTATGCTTTATATTATTTCCGTTATTATAGTATCTGGAATAAACTGGAATTTTTTTTTGGGGGGGGGTGTAGTTATCCTTTCTCAAGTATCCATTTCAAAATGAATTTTTAAAAAGTATACCATTTATTTTTTTAATTTGTATAGATTATGAGACATATTATTTTATTCATATTAAAAATGATACACGAAAGATTCAAAAGTTTAAAAAAAATCTTAAAGGTTTCAGATTTTAAATTACGTCCAATATCATTTTCTCCGCACTTAAACCATAAATTTTAGTTGAATAGCAATGTCCCAAAATAATTTTAAGATGAGCCTATCTTTAGAATTTCCAATACACAGTTCCGCGAGCTGAAGATAAAAAGGTTCCCCCCTCCCGACATTTATAGTGATTTATAGTGAACGGACATTTATAGTGACTCAAAGCAAAATCGCAAAACAAAAACAATAGTCCTTCAGGGACAAAGTCCATTTGGACTAATAATGGAATTCCTAAAAACTATTACTTCAAATTCTACTCTATATTTTCCCTGCGTTACTTTAAAAAGAAAACTCTTGCACTATTTGCTCATGTCATTAAAAATAAAATCACCCATTTTGCAGAATCTACTACTGAACATACATTTATTTATGCTTAATATTAATATTTTTGACAATTCGATTATTATTGTTCTTATAAATAATCACAAAGCCGAAATGCTAAAATCGTGGACTACAAGCACTTTCTATCTCGGGTCAAGAAAAATCAATTCACATGTTATCTTTAGTTTCCTCCTATGCAGTTTTGCTATAAGGCATTAAAATAAAAGCATTTTTTTTTCCTACTTGAACGTTAATAAAGAAGGAAAAAATCACTTTCATACTCCTCATCTATTGTTTATGACAAAACGTTTAAATGTTTTGAGTGATGTAGCGAAAATGACGTCACCTAAATTTTTCGCATCTCATAACAGCCGTTAGAGCGACATTTGTCTCCGCAAACTTGGCGATCAGTAGCGGCAAATGGTGCACTGTCAACGGCAACTTGACTTTCACATTGCGGCGGAAGTGATACCGGATTTGCTTCTGTAACTCCTTTCTTGAATTACTTTTCAGACATTTAACTAGGTAAGTTTGCAAAGTAACTGTTTTACTCTCTCTGTATATAAAAAAAGACTTTTGAACCCATTTTTGCTATTTTACTCTGTTTCGCAAAAAAAGTATTCTGATCTGCGATGAGCTAATTTCTGCAAAGTTGCAATTTTTTAGAAAATAGATTGCTCTTTAACTTTTGACCTTGACTTATTTTTGAAAAATGCTTGTTTTCTAGAAAATCAATTATTTAAATAATAAAAACTAAGCAAACTATTTATCAATTATGACTCAGTTTTATTCTGCAACTGCCGTCTATAAAAAACGAAGTCATTTTGCTCTCTGACTTGCAGTAGCAATTGTAGTGGAGTTGGTGGCAAAAAAAATAACAGCAATTTACAATAAAAACAATAAGATCTGTTGATAAATAATGAAGAAGCTGCATGTTTTTCCCCCGCATTGTGTGTAAAACGGAGGCACCTAGAGCTACCAAATTTTCGTAAGTCCGTCACTTGATCGTATGCATCTCAAAGCCCAAATTACGAATTTTAAATCTGCTTTTAATTTATTTAAAAGTTTGGGCAAGTTTAATTACTTTTTTATGAGCAAAATCAGTGGTTTAACAGCATTGTGTCCCCTCTTCTCGGATTTATCTTTGACACGCCAGTGTGTTGCCATTGAGCAAAGAGTAAGATATTTAATTTAACTTTTTAATTTAATCGATCTGTTATCGATTAAAACATAAGAGATTTAAAAGTAATAAATAAAGTTCTTAATAATACTTTTAACTTTGCTGATAATGTATCGGATCGATTTAACTAAAAATGCAATCAATGCATGGAATATCTAAGTAATAATTTTTTGAAAATTTGCTGTTTTGTTTTTAATTTATAAAAAACTTTTAACGTCATATTGTGCGTAAATAATTGTAGAATACTTATTTTTTTTTTTTTACCTCATTTTACATTTTTTAATCCTCTGAGCGTTATGACCGAGTTTATCCGGCCATCAGAAGTTTTGCTGCTTGGTATATATTAGCTTATAATTTAAGATATTTTGCTTTCTTTCTTTAATAATGTAAATATAATCTTAATGAATGTAAGTTTTGGAAAATGCAGACTAAAATAAGTAATTATACAAACTAAATTAATAAATGCTGTTTAAATACTGGTCTTCATAACGGATCTAAAATCCTGTGCTTCTCAGAGGCTCTTCTGGTTTAATAGCTCTTCTGAGCTAACGCCCTTTGGGCTAATAATTAAAAAAGTAAATAATTAAATATTAAAATAATTATATATTCAACGATTAAAGTAAATAAATAATTAAAGTTAGAATTTAATAAATTGCGAATTGATAAATTAAAATTGAATAAGCGATTTTAATATAATTTTATTACTCAAAATAAAATTTTCGAGATCAAATTACAACTGAAATTGTTGTTGAGTTACACAAAAGAACCGGTAGAATTATGATTTATACCAAAAACTAAGAAGTACCGGAGCTAAGCTTCAATGGGCTCCGGTTCAATTTAAGTTCTGATATCTACTATTCTACTAAGAATTTCAAATGTAAACAAATGGCTGCTTCGTTAGGCATAGTAGGACTAAACAACTTTTAAATTAATGATTATTCTAAAACTATTGAATGCAGATTAACTAAAGGTATAAAAACCTTAACCGGAATATAAAAACCACATGCAGATGAGGGGAAAACTTGCTACAGAAATAATATATATGATGACTGTTAGTAAGTAGCATTTGTGTCCGCTATCGTCAAATTCCTAAATAAAAACGAACAAAAGGAAGAAAAGAAATAATCGATAACTGAGTTATCTAAAATCTGGAATCGTTGGACGAATAATTGATTAAATTAATGTAGTAAAAACCCAATACTTTTAATTTATTATTAAAAACACAAAACATTTTTATGAAATTACATTATCAGAAAAAAATCTGAAAGCTTTTAGATTTTATACAACGTCTAAAGAGGCGTTTTTTCCACTTCCATACACATACACATTTCGAGAGTATGTTGACTAAAAATATTTAAAGACAACCCATCATTAGAATTTCCGATAGACAGTCTCTCTCGCGCTGGAGATAAAAATAATTTCTTCCGTACAATGTCACCATTGCTCGCTTTGAAATCGTTGAGTCTGTTAATCAAAAATTCGTTAAAGTTTTACAAAATTTGAAATACACATTAAAATATTTAAAAACATCATACTTTTAGAATTTCCGATAGATAGTCTATTGCGCTGGAGATAATTTTTTTTTTCGTATAGTGTTGCCGTTGCTTGCTTTGAAATCATTAAGTTTGTTTATAAGATATTTCTCCAGTCTTATTAGCATACCTTCGTGGTGTAATGGTCAGCACGCTCGGCGCGTTTTCGAGAGATTCGAGTCCTGACGAGGGCATTGCACATTTTTCATGTCTGCTGCTTCGAAATAACCTAATGTCTCTACGTGTTAACCAAAAATTCATTAGTGCTGTATAAAATATGAAATACGCAATAGAACAAATTCGAAATTAAAAATTCGGAGGGAGAACTAAGTTATTCAAAATTTGATGGCTCTATTTGTCTCCCTGTTTTTTTTTCACAATGCGAGAGATATACATACATTCATCCAGATGCTTCATTATTTAATTTCTTTAATATAGTAAAGGGCGATAATATTTGGTGTCAACAATTTGAAAAGTAATTCAACGCAAATTCCCATTCCGAGACTAATAGCCCTTCTGAGCTAGCGCTCCTTTGGACTAATAATCATTAAAATAATTATATTTTCTTTTTATAATAACTCTGTTAGATGCCTGATCACACAAGCAGCTAGCAATTTTATTAATAAAAATAAAATGTCAAATTTCTATCAATTATTAAATAATTTTATTTCAACCAAAAATATTGCACTTGGTTCATCGATTTGAAATGGAAAATGATACGAAACATATTTCTAAGTAAACTTTGAGTCTCTTTACATTAAAATGCATTGCTACTTCTCCCGCCCCCTTTTTTTTAAGATTTAATTTAGTATATGTAGCCATCTGTAAAAATAAATTTCTAACCCAAATAAATCATAACTTTAATTCGTTTGGTGATCGGTATAATTATCTCGCTGCTTGAACTGAATTACTAAGAGAAAGCTTAAGATTTGCAACAAAATTTCGTGTTTTCCTAATGCTCAATATACATATGTAAAATGAAGATACAGTAAATAAATCAAAATTGGTCGTGAGCCTTAAACAATAAGAACACATATTAACAAAATATAAATAATATCAAATATAATTAAATACAAAATTAGAAGACTGTTTAAATAATAAAATAACAGAATGTTTAAACAATTAAATGTGAATTAAAAACAAAGCA